AAATCCTTCACAGTGCCATGGCATGTTGAGCAGGATGCTTGTAAGGCTCTTTCAAGTGCTGGGTAAATTGAGACTTTGCCCAGACTGGCTGAAGATGCATTTCTGCAGCTGCTTTAGTGTTTGAGCTTCACTTTGGGTTCTAAAGGCGGATTTGTCAAAGCCTAATGAGGTCTCTCTGATCTCCAGCTGTGTGTGCTGTTACAAACAGTGCTGGCCTGTCTCAGTTCTCTGATGGCTGTGAGGAGGAAAGCAGTGCACTAATGAGGGGGCTTGGCTGTGCTTCCTGCCCCCCTCCTTCCATAATTAGTGGACTCCCTGACCAGGAACAGAGGGGTGCTGGGTGCTGTGGTTGGTGTTAGCTAAAGGCACGTGGAGAAGGTGCTGTGGGTAGACCTTGAATTGTAGGGCATAGGATGTTCTCCTGGCTAACATCTCTGGCAGGTGCCTTGATGAGACTATTGATTTTGGGGAAGTATATTCAGCAGGGAGTGCAATTCCACTATGTGCAGCTGTGAGCCCAGGACTGAGTGCACGTGGACTGGCTGACATCAGGTGGCAAACCTGTTCTGCTTCTGCATGTATCCTGCACTGAGAGGACCTGGGCTGTCGTTGCAGTGAAGTTCTGGGCCAGATTAACCAATAGTTTGAACCAGTGAGGCAAATGCTGCTTTCTCAAGACGTATTGACATACCAGTGCTTGAAAAACTAGTCAGTTTGAAGTGAAGTAGGGCTAAGAGGACACGTGAAGAGAGCAGGCATTTGCAGAGCAGCAGACCTTCCTATTTGTAGGTCATCTGATTTATAATAAATTGCTTTTAGACTGAAAAAAAAGAACAGCCAGATGCCTCTTTCTCATAGTTTTCTACTCTTTTTGCCCAGTTATTGTAGTGGTGCTGAGTGGAACAGTGCAGATTGAAGTGCATTTACATAGGATTCCTTTTTCTTATTTTCTGTAGCAATGAGCTCAGATATTAGAGTATCCATTTCTTGGTAGAACTCTGAGAAGGGTAGTGCTTGGAAATGAATGGAAAAACTCGTAGAGTCATTGAAACACTTTGAGGGTGTTTTGGTCACATGGCAACAGTCAAATGCAGATGAGTAAATAGCAGAACAAGAGATTTGTGAGAGGCTGCTGCTTGTGGCTAAGGAACAGTGAAAAGTCAAATTAGCATAGAAATAGGAACACATGGAAACAAGGAAATGAGGAAATTAAAGTTGCACCTGCACTGAACTGAACTGGTAGGATACAGTTTGTTTCTATGGACTGAAATAAAAAGGAGTTCCAACTAAGGTTGTGTTGGAAAGCACTTACCCAGAGGCTAATACAACCTTTGTGCTGCCAGAATAGCTCTGTTGGATTAAAAGCCGGGAATTAGCTGCCCAAGGTGAGCTCCTTATAGAGAACAGCAATAGAAATGCTGAATTCAAAAGTCATACACTGTCACATGGTAATACAGCAACAAGGGGAGGTAACAGTCACTGCTGTTGTCCTGCCCGATTAAGACGGAGAGGTTTGCATCACACTGACTTCTGGAGGCTAAAACAAGTTCACCACTACCTTGCTGCACACCAGAGGGGTCTCCTGGAGACCTTTCCTCCTTACCTGTGTCAAACCATGTCTCAAAGCGGCCAAGGCAGGTGGCAGGCTCATAAAAATCTGAAAGATAAAAAAATTGAAAGACCTCCAGCATGCTTTAGATCTGGCCTTGCATCATATATGTTTTTCAAAGACTGTTCTCTGCACAGAGTAGATTTGTACCAGCAGGCAAGAAAACCTGAAGAGAGTCCTGGTCTACTTTGTCTTAGCAGAAAGAAATTCTTCACAGGAACAGCTGGAATCAAAAAGATGTTAAGGTACAGATGTGGGGGGGTTTCCCCTGTTAACAGAAGATTTCTTTTGGTTCTTGGCATATTTTCGTAGTCAAGTATCATCCTTAATTCAGTTATGATCAACCTCTCCTCACCCCTTTTCATGAAAAGCAAAAAAAAAAAAAATCTTTCTCTATAGAGAGGAAAAAGATATTCAAGTGGTGTGTGAATAAGCTTGAACCTGAAACATTAGGCTATTTGTCTCTGTGATGAAGTGGTGGTTTCAGAGTTCTGGTGCTCAGTATTAATATATCTATCCCTGTTTCCAAATTCTGCTTATTTATGACAAGATACCCTCATCTCACTTGACTGTGTGATACAGAAGTTTCTATTTTTTTCATTTTGAAAGCACTGAAGTTTTTGGTTTTGTTTGTTTTTGTTGGTTTGGTTTTGGGTTTGTTTTTTTTGTATACAGAGTATAAGCTTGAGCAATAACTCTACAGAGTTAATCTAGTTAAACACAAATCTAGTTAAACTTACAAGTCCTAATCTATTTCTGCTAGAATCTGAAAATACTCCAGTAATTCTTTAGAGGGCTAAAAGTGGAACTGCTTCTCAAAGTAAATAGACTTCATTGATATAGTGGTTTGTTTGGGTTTGTGTTGCTGTACCCAAGATGAGAATCTGGCCAGGCTATGCCTTGTGCCGAGTGCAATCAGAAGAAACTACACAATGCACAGATGGGTGGAAATAAGACTATGAAATGGGAAGAAAAAGGAATTTTTCCATGGGCAGTTCTGAACCCCATCAGAAAATCTGGTCCATTTTCACACAGGGATCAGTGGCAGAAAAGTTAAACATGTTTTGGTGGCTGAGATTTATTCCCCATGAAGATATTAAAGCTCACTGGAAATTAGAGAAAAGCTCCTTAAAGGACAATAGTGCCATGAGGTGACGTATTCTGCTGCGTAGATGTTGGGTTTGAACATAAGCTTGCTACCTGTAAAAGTTTGATTTAAAATCTTCCCTCCTACTAAGGAAACAAATCTATTAACTTGATTTGTTTAGGCTTGAATCTGTAACTGCTATTATCTCTCCCAAAGCTTAGCATAATGATCTCTGAGCTCAAGGCAACCTGGTATGTGATTGATGCTGCACAGGACACGGTGGACTCCGTGAGTGGTGCTCATGGCAGCAGTGCAGCATTTTAGAAGTGTGAACATGCACATTAAAGAGCCCCTTCTTGTCAACAGCTCTAAAACACGAGTCAACCAATGCAGTCCTTGCACAAATCATTGGCAGGTAGAAAAAGAGGTAGAAAACCTGTCCCCGAAAAAGTTTTCCCACAATCTCCAGTGAACGTTTTTCTTTCATAATAACATTAATCTTACTGAATGGCATATTTGCCGTCTTTCCTACTGAATTATTTATTCAATTCCAGCACTTAGTTGCTCATTTGAAATCCTGTGCTGCCGTGCATACATCAAGGAAACCATTCAGCCTCAGGAACTGCTCAGGCGGCCCATATTCAAACAGCTTACTGTCCCCTGGAAAAAGGGTATTTTGGAAGAAGTGGTCTTCCTCCTTCCCACCTCCTTTGGAACTTATGAGTAAAGCAATAGGAAAATATTGTGTGGAAAAATGATGGATTTGGGCTCAGAATGGAAATCACAACTGTACAAGTTTTGGATCCTGCAAAAGGCTGAGGAACTGATAAATCCGTGTGTGTCGGTGTTCTCATAACATGATTATGATGATTGCATAGGATTGTCAAGAGAGAAACATCTATGAAAGATAAAGTCTGGCATGTGAAAATTCACTCACGTCACACTTGAAGTCATGTCTGAGATTTGGCTGACAGTGATGGTAAATGTGTTACAGGAAAGCTTTTCAGGGTAAAATTAATGCTGCTGTTGTGAATCCTGCTGTCCAGTGTTGTATTACTGTGAGTTTGTCCCAACAATTTTTGGACTGAAGTCTGAAACCGCTTAGTACTTTTCTGTTTTCTTATGACTTGATATAAGTCCATTTACTGCCATGCTGGCTGTATTTTTATTTTTTCCTTTAGACACTATCTTAATAGCCCAAGTGTCTGTTCCCGGATCTGTCATTTGTGAAAACAAATATGATGTATTTTCCCTGCACATCAACCACATCCATTCTGTTTCATTTCTCTAAATCAGTGTGTGGGAAGGAGGGATAAATTTTCCATTGTGTATATATATGTCCCAGAGGACAGGGCGTGTCTCAAAGTAAGGTGTTCAGACTCTCACAGGAGTGACATTGCAATGTGAGGCCCTCAGGGAGATGCTCTGATGTTCTAGGGAGTAGTGTGTCATAATCTGTACTTCTGTGTTTTGCAGGTAGGTCCTCTTTTTCATCACCCTGCTACTGAGTTCTGGACTACCATCAACAACTAGAGTAAAAGCAGAGCTTAAATGGCATTATTTAAAGGGGAGTGGGGGGAGGAATTAAAAAAAAAAAAAAAAGGAAGAAAAAACACCAGGCTCTATGTTAGAGTTTTTGTGCTGTCATTTGAGCATGAGTGATGATTGATGGCATTTAAAACTCACATGGGCTCAGGACACTGGCCTGGGGAGGCTGATCTGCAGGCAGAGGACCCACACTGATGTGAAGCCTGTACATGGTCCTGGCTTGTCATGGTATCACAGGGTGCCAGGGATGCTTGTAGATGAAGTTAGTACCATGTTGAGCTGACAAACAGCAAATTCTGTATATGAGTTAAAAACATTAATAACCAATGCTGTCAAGTGTGAAATATTGAAAAATTATATATTTCAGAATTTCTATAGCTTTGTTGGGAGGTTTTCTGCCTTGTTGGTGAAGATACTGCCATGAATTAAACTTCACTGGCACTCTGAAGATGCTGCTTGGTATGCTGGGCTTGCAAACAAAGATGTATTTGTTAGGATGCTGGTTTAATTGCCATTTAAATTGTTCTGGAAAGATAGTAGGGTGATATATTTTTCTTTGCATTGAGCTTTAAAATTATACCCTGGTAGAAATGGAAATGAGGAAAAATTATACTGACATAAAAGCATTTTAAAATAGCTTCTACCTGGAGTCAACAACCTTTTTGACGTGCCAGAAAACAATTTGTCTTGCCAAATTGTAGGTGAAACATGCCTGTAAACAGCACTGGAAGCTGGAAGATTGCCTCTTGGTGGCAAAATGCCACCCAACAGCCGACAAGCAGCGTGTTAGCCCTAAAAGAAGGCAGGGCTCCTGGCTAACCTGACTTCAGAGCGTGCCCAAAGCTGGAGGATTCTGCCTCTCCCCAAATGCCACAGCTTCCACCGGTGTAGTATGTCACTCCAGTCTTCTCACAGGCTGTGCTGGGCAGACATGTCGGAGGCAGTAAAGTCCAAAGATTGCACTGACTGATCTCTTGTGAAGTTATATCAAGAACAAATTGCAGGGGAGGAGGACCTGCCAAAAGTGCTGATCATGGAGCTCATACGTGCAGTTGCCCGCATGGCTCCAAAATCAAGTGGATCTGGACACTTTAAGAAACTACTCAGAGAACTCTTACTCAGGCTGAGATGAATTTTCCTGGGAAACCTTAAAATTAACATTTTGGGAGAAAGGTAAGCTTTTCAGTTAGTGTAAATCATGATACAGAAACCATAACAGGTAATTCCAAAGTCCAGGAATGTGTTAAAAGGGATGACTCATTGTGTCTGGTTTGTTAAAAATTATTGTGTTAATACTCAGTGTGTATTGACATAATCTCCAGGAAGTTTTCCAGTGGTGTTTTATCTCTAGCATTTTGGGATCAATAACACAAAATTACAAATGATAAAGCTTTTTATCTAATGGCTACTGCTGACTGGCTCAAAAAGAATTCCAGTCAACTAATTTTATTCAGAAGCCATTGTCTCTAATTGTAAGATGCTGATTAGTTATAATAATATGCTGCCAACAATTGATGAGTCATGCCAATATTCAGATCAAGAGGTTTGAACAACAAACCTAAATATAGCAGATACAAACAAACTGGAGAGTCTGAAGTCTATTACCAAGGACATTGCTAACACAGCTGTTGGAATACATGAGGGAATATAATAAAAATTGTTTGCAATATGAAAATGTCAGTAAAAACCTGTTGTTGCGTCTTACAGGGGCTGATCTGACGAACAACTCAGAAACTTCTAATTCAAGCAAGCCTTTACCTGTGCAGTGCACACTGGTGCCAAGGTACTTATTGCACATGAAGTTTAATTTTTGCTGGTGATGATCAGATTGGATTCTTCAAAATTTGTCATCATGTTCCCCTTTCCATTTCATTTCCGTTTCTCCTTTCCATTTAATTTTTTCCACTAGTAGAATAGGGCGTGAAGACTTCATCATGAGACTTTTCACTCTCAGAGCATGTAACATGAAATCTCGTATAGAGCCATGAGCAGTCTGTATGAGGATTCTTTGTCTTTGTTTAGATGTTCAAAAGAGGGACTGCAACTGGACAACAACTCTATAGAGGAGCAGAGGACATGGCCCAGGCATACAGATGTCTTAGTCAGCTCTTGTAGCTCACAGTGAGATCATGGAGGGTGCTGATAGATCAGTCGCACACCACCTGATAGCCTCTACTGACAGATGAAGGAAGGAGTGCCAGCTGCAAAAATTCAAGCAAGAAGCATGGAAGAAACAGAATCCAAATGTAACTTGGTGAAGAGAGGAGGAGCAGGTGAGCTGCTGGGCCATCTGGTAAATACAGAGGGGAGGGAGAGTCTGGAAGGACTGTGACTGGTGATAAAGGCATACTTGTGGGGGCAAGAGGCTGGAACATGGACATGCACGGCTTCCTCTAACAAAACCACCCAACCAAATGTTAGGGGACTGTATATATGTAAAAATGTTGCATCTATTCCCTTAGCTTTATCTCCTGATATTTTAAGTGGAGGGGGTTTGTGGATGTAGGTGATGCCTTTGATCCCAGTGCAGGAGAGAAAATATTAAAAAACTTCGCAAAATACAATAATGTTCCTGTTCAGAGTTTATATTTGAAACTGTCCTGGCAAGTAAAAACATTGCCAAACAGTAGCCTCACGCTGTTGCTTATATGGCTGCAAGAGAAATATGTAAAAACTTTGCTGTGAGCACGTGTTAACTCAGGTTATCTAGCATGTGCCAGGGATTTATGCAACTTGTCTCAGAGAGCTCAAAGAAGCCTCTCTTCCTTAAGAAAATAAGCTAAGTGTTTGACAGAGCAGCTATTGTTTTAGAAGAAAGGGTTGCATCCCTCTCAGCTTCATTTAGAGAATGGGACTTGCCTGAATTTGAGCCTCCATTTTTACCGCTGGGGAGTGGTGTTTCCATGCCTGTCTTCCCTCAGCTATAGCAGCTGAAGAATTAGGGCAGGATCCCAGAGGAATCAGAGGGCTGACATGAACCTATGTCTGGAAAAAGTGTGTCTCTTCTGTGCCTTGATTGCTGCACAGGAGCCTGACTCAGTTATGTGAATGTGAGAGGATATGGAGCACCATGAGCTGGCTGGTGCTCAGAGGTTGAGATGATTCTCTGAAGAACTTGTGGCCCCAGGAGAGATTATGACTGATGTACTGAAAAAAAAATGCTGTATTATACTGTAAACAGCAGATGAAGCACGTCCCTTGGCATTAAAGCAATGGGAGGTTTCCTTGCTCAGCCCGCTGGTTACACGCCAAGTAGGTCGATGGTTTGTTGTAGCTGTCTCATGGCATGTTGATCAAACAACTGGGTTCTATGAGGGGGATGAGAAATGATGACAGCTTTTACAAACTTGGTATAGATCATGCAGGAATTACTTTGGATGTCATATGAAGTTAAAGGTTCGGAGGACTTGTGGGTGGAAAGTGTGATTATTTCAGCACCAGAGCTAAACTGAAGGGAGAGGAAACACGCTCATTGCATATCCACATGCCTCAGTAGGTCAGAAATACATTTGTTTGATGAAGATGATATTTAGCTTTGGGGACGAAAGAAAAATGAGTAATGAAATATTTTCTTTGAATGTTACTTTGTACACACATGTTGCCTTGTATAAAGAAAAAAGGAAGATGTTAAGGCAATAAGAGAAACGTTAATCATAGTTTTCCTTCTTGGATAACTCTTAAGCAGCTGTCTTATTCATTGCTTCATTTCCACTAGAGGCCCATGAATTGGAATTACAGTACTTTTATAGCTGCATCTGCCTGAGCCCACTTTGGAAATCTTGGCTCATTAGCAGGAAGCCACTCCAAAATGCTCCACCTTGTTTGTCCCTGGCTCAGCACAACTAGAATGCAGAGAAACCACAGATTTTTCTCTCAGATAAACTGAAAGAAAGGACTGCTCTGTTGAGTTTTGTGCACATGGGTCATGCAGAGCAGATTCAGGTCCCCAGTGCGTGTGGTGGATTGCAACTTGGTTGCAAACAGTCCTGGAGGGTGAGTTTTGTGAGTGTGTGGGAGCATCCACAAAACTCGACTGGAAAAATAAGATCAAACTGTTTCATTATGTTTCTGTTGTTTGCTTTTTCCAGCTGGGCTGTTTACACTAGTATCTGTTTTTTAGCATTGCAACATGTGCGCTTCCCTCATTATTTTCCTCTTCTACCTCTCTGAATCAGCAGTGACTTGTACAAAGATGAAAGGGAAAACAATTCGGCAAGTACTCAAAGGCTCTTAAGGTTGAAGAAGGTATGGAAGCGGATACTCAAATGTGACTAATCCTGCTTTTTGTCCTTTGTCAGCAAGGGATGTTTTCAGCCTGATGCTGAATATGAGTCTAAAGCACAGGAAATAAACACAGTGTAGGCATGATGCCACACCAGCCAGGGAAGTTTTGGCTTAAATGCACCCTTTAAGGATTCTCAGGTTTAGACTATAGATTGTTCCAGTTGCTGTTGGAAATTTCAAGACATGTTCTCAGCTTCTCGATCAAGAGCTCATGTTACTGCACATAAACCAACCATGTGGACAGCCAGGTGTTCTCAGACCCACTGGAAACAGTAGTTTATACAGAAGACTATGGGAATAGTATCTGAGCTTTAAGGGAGGATCAACCAGTCAGTTGTGTTGAAAAGCTTCCCACCTGCTCCCTGCCATTCTTGGGAGGAAAGTAAAACATGCCAAGTATCTCGAGGGCGATGAATGAATGCCCGTACAGGACACTGGCTGGTCCAGCCACCTTGTGCCGTTATCCCAAAGTGGCATTTGCACATCTTCTGGGCACAGGTGTTCACTGCAGGAAACAAGGACTCTCTCCTGCACTTGTGTGTGTTTGTAGGCTCAAATCACAGATCATGGGGTTCTGCAGACAAGGACCTGGGAGTCCAGGTGATGGCCAGCCAGGAGTGCACCCTCATGGCAAAGGCAGCCATCAGCATCCTGGGCTGCACTAGGAGGAGAGCTGCCAGTAGGCTGAGGGAAGTAATCCCTCCCTGCTGCTCAGCTGGCAAGACTGCATCTGGAGAGATGTGTCCAGGGCTGAGCTTTCCAGCAGACAAAAGACAGGGACACACTGGAGAGAGTCCAGCAAAGGGTCACAGGGATGACTAAGGGGACAGACCATAGAGATGACTAAGGGGACAGAGCATTTTCACATGAGAAAAGGCTGTGAGAGAGCTTTGACTCATCAGCCAGGAGAAGAGGAAGCTTGTGGAGATCTTATAAATGTGTATAAATATCTGATGGGAGGCTCAGGAAAACAGAGCCAAACTATTCTCAGTACTACCTAGTGGCGGGACAAGAGGCAGTGGGCACAACAGAAACACAGAAAATTCCATCCAATTCCTTAAGAAAACACTTTTTTACTGTATGGGTGATTGAGCACTGGCACAAATGATCCAGAGAGGTCTTGGAGTCACCATTCTTAGAGGTATTCAAAGCCTGACTGGACTGTGTCCATATATGCAGTCCTTTGGAGCAACCTGCTCCAACTGGCTCTGCTTGAGCAGAGGTTGAACTAGAGGATCTCAAGGGTCTCCTTCCCCCCTCAACAATTCTACAAAAGCAGAGTTGGATTGGTCTGACATGAAAGCTTGAACAAAGACAGCTTCATTCAAGTATAAATTGGATTAAAGTGAATAGGCTTAGCTCAAAATGGAGCGACTGTTCTGATTTTGTAAATATATGTAACAGTAGAGGATCTCCTCACAGTCTTCAGTCTTCTACAAGCTGCACTCTGTGTGGTGCCTGGCATAATGAGGATGTAGCACTTCAGACCCTGCTGAGCATAGAAGGGTATGTTCTTCAATGGCTTTCTTCTTTCCTTCAAGGTCTCAAAAGATAGCTGTAGGCAATTACTTGCTTTCACAAATTGGACTTTTCTGGATTGCACCAAGTATTCCACTGTACAGGCTTTTCAGTATGTATTGAGGGGCTGTTTTGCCTGAAAATGTGGCCTTTTTTCTCTGCCATAAGGTGGTAACATCTGCTTCTCTAAACTATATTATACTTGTGGCAGAAAAAAGCCTATTTTTTTTTGGTTTATGCTGTCAGGACTTGACTGACTTTTTCACAGCCTTGTAGATTAAGATCCACTATATTTAGTCTCTGTGGAAGCCAGTTAGTCTTGGCAAATGAGAAGAAGATCTGCAAATACTTTACAGACTTCAGATGTTGTCCATGAAACACTGTGTTCAGGAGATGAAAGTGGACCAGCAGCTTCCCCTCCCACTCCTAGCTGGAGATGGATGTTGAGGGGATGCTTGAAAAGTCACTGTTCTGTGCTCTGCTAAAGCTGCAGTTTGTTTTCACCTGGTATATCTCAGGAGAACTGATGACAATTTTGACTGAAATTTGGTGGTGAACTTTTGTAAAGTGAGGCCATAACCACAACAAAGTGACAACTTTCATAGATGAAACCTCTATCATAATGAGCACAAATGGTAAACACGTCAATAAACTTGCAAGGTCTTGAATCCAGCAGAAAAGAAAAACCATAATTGGCTGACTAACAAGTGTGATAGGTGCCCAGCCAGGAATAGCATAGGATTGACTGACTGGTACTTGGTGTGTGTAGGACACCTTCTATTGGGGAGATGTACAATTTCCACCTTTCCAGCTGCTAAAGCCATGCTCTCCATCCCTCTCAATTTGATCTACACTTACAGAAGCAAAAGCAAACCAGAGACTGTCTGGAGCAAGTGTTGCTAATTAAAGAACCTGATGCATTTGCATCTATTTATAACTGGATCTGGGGTGGTAGAGTTCTGGGGTGTTTTTCTTAAATCATCTTTAAATTACCTCCTAATCATTTTCTTTGCCTATGAAGGGATGTAATTGGCCATGTGGGACTGGAAGCAACACAGACAAGTGCCCACTACATTTCAATGGCTTCAAGTACACACAAAGCTTTAGGACACTGAGACTTGAGTTATGATGCTCTGGGAAGAGTGGGATATCTTGGTCACTATGGCCCTATAACCTGCCTACTTTGTAAGGCCTCAGGACTGAAACTGCTTAGACTTTGTCTGATTTTGCCTTAGCCATCCTAGAGCTTTAGTTTTGTTTGCTAATCAATGACATTTGTTTTTCCTCATGATGAGGAAGCTGTTGCCTAATTTGTTTTGCTCTTGCTTAATTTTGTATAAGCATTAGGAATTACCTTAATTCTATACAGTCAATTATAAGAAGTAGTTATTCAAATGAAACATTTATTGCTGTAGCATAGAGTCACATGGGGTAATGTAGGTGTGGTATGACAGTAGAGGCCACAAAAAAA